TCTCATAAAGTGGTCCGGAGCTGCCGTCTGTGGGGGTGTAGGGGTGTTCCAGTCAGGGCCTCTGGAGAGGCTCTCAAGGACAGCCACAGGACCCCTAGACCAGGGCAAGAGGACCTCCAGGCCTCTGCAGGAAGCTCCACAGTGCTTGTTCCCCGATGGGACTGTGAGTGACACGCTGGCCTGTCCAGGCTGTGCACAGGAGTGAAGGGAGAGGGACCAGTGTGTGCTCATTAGCTGGTTCCAGATCCTTCCAGGTGCCAAACATGGCCACAGATCCCCAGATCCCTCCCTAACCGCTTCTCCCTTTATCCTCACTGACATCCTGAAAAGCGGGTCTTTATTTTTATTTTTATTTTTTTTTAAGATTTTGGTCATAAGAGCACATGCATTGGTGAGAAAGGACAGTGAAAGGGAAAGTGAGAAGTCACCCCCCCAAGGGGGACGGCAGCCATAATCCCCTCTCCTCCATTCTGGGATTTTGGGCACACACACACACACACACACACACACACACACACAAGTGCCCAGCATGATTTTCAAGCTGCCAGGTCCAGGGCTCAAACCATGGTCAGCCATGTGGGAGTCCAGCTCCTTAACCACCATGCCACCTGCAGGTCGTTTAATACCCACTTTATAGATAGACACAGGAGCTTAGAGAAATTAGGTGGCTTGACCTAGGTCCTGCTGCTCTGGTATTTGAAACCAGGTCAGCCTGACCCCGAACTTCCTCTTCCTTTCACGTTCGAACCTCCTAAGACCTCTGAGCTTTCTTTTCCCAGTGGAAGACCCACCGCAAGACACACCTGGTCCTACTCATCTGAATTCTCCCTCATTCCAGGTCCAGGCCAAGTCCCGCCTCCCAGAGGAGCTCTTGCTGCCTACAGGGACCAGACACCCAGGCGGAGGAAGCCTGGATCCCAGAAGTGGGAAGAGGGAAGGACGGAGAAGGATGGGAACCGGGATCAAGGTCAGAACGAGTCAGAGGTGGGCTGAATGTCTCGAGACGTGTGAGGGGGTGAGAAGCCTACCTGGACCACTGTCTCCTCTTAGACAAAGGATGTAGTGGAGTGTTTCTGTTCCTGGGGAGGGGAGACTTGGGGTTCAGAGCCTGCATCACCGCCATGTCCTCAGTCCTCCCGTGTGCCCAGTGCGTGGAAACAGCCCACCTTGACACTGACCACACGCCCTGGCTTCTCCATGGACCAGCTTCCTACATCTTGAGCTATCACCTGTCACCTAGGTGTGTCACCCCAGGTGAGGCCGTGTGTCATGTCCTTATGGCCCACATTGGCCCACTCAGCCTTGATAGGCGACTCTGGCCAAAACTAGACTCTTACTTCATGAGAGGACCAGACCTCTCCCGCTCCTGGAGCCCCAAGCAGAAGGAATGAGACCCTGAATTGGGAGTCAAGAGTGGGTGCTGGACAGGGATGCCCATAGAACCCGAGAGGAGACAGTGAAGCCAGATGCTCTACGAGTGGCCTGGGAGGGCTGGGCAGGTAGGGACCTCTGTCTCTGTTACCCCCAAGGTACTTTTCTTTTTTAAAATTTGCTTCAGGATGTATGTGCTCACCAGAGAAAAACAGAGGGAAAGTGAGAAATAACCCCCAGGGAGGATGGCCACACTGCAATCCCTTCTCCATTCTCCTCTTAGGGTTCTGAGCACGCGCACACACACACACACACACACACCCAGCGTGATTCTCAAGCTGCTAGGTCTGGGACTTGGACCAAGCAATCAGCCGTGTGGGGTCCAGCTACCTTAACAACCAGGCCACTGGCCAGCTACCCCCTCCCCAAGCTACTTCTAATCCCGCTGTCTAATACTGTCTATGGCCACGTTGCCTCAGGGCCGTCCAAGTGATGTCATGCCTGCAGGGTGAGTTCCCCTTCCAGCTCCAAATATCCTTCCTCCAGTGGGCGGGCAAGTGGCTCTAGGGGCCACTCCTGGAACCCAGAGCCTTCATTTTTCCATCTGCTTTGGGGGGCCCCCAGGAGTTGTGAGCTCAGACCCCCATCCTTGCCTCTTCAGCTGCCATGGTGGCTCACACTTTGCTGAAGTAGGTGGCCACCTCTTTGCGTGGCGGTCGGGGTCCGCCGCCAGCCCAGACCTTGGCCG